CTACCACACTGTTATAATACACTTGAAACGTACAATAAGGTAGCCTTTAAATCTGAGGTGGTCTTAAAGATAACAAATGAACAGAATTCCAAATTTCTGAAATAGGTGAACTGCTGCAGTTATAGGTATACATTTAGGAAAATTGTATAGCTCTTACAAGACCAGCAATGTAACTTTATTTTGTACATTTTTAATTGAAAATATAAACAATAATTAAAAAATAAAAAGAAAATACAGCATAATAAAAAACATACGTTTCTCAATTAAATGTATTGGATACATATAAATTTTAAGGGAAGAAGCAAAAAAAAGGAAAATGGTTGATATTTAAGTGCAGACTGACTACCTAGACAAAACAAACAAAAAAAAACTTAAAAAATATCATAAAATGTCTAGTTTTCTATGACTAATATCCATATAGTTGGAGTATTGTCACTATGGAAGTGATTTTGTTATGTTTGCATATGTTATACTTTACTGGTAATTTACATGATGGCTTTTAAGGCCCTGGCAGACATGGTTTTTGGAAACAAGATTGGATAAAAATCACCGCTAAGACGCAATACACCTTATTTATTTTTCTTTCTTTTCTTTTTTTTTTTTTTGGTCCTCCAATATTCAAGAAAAGGGCTAATTCACTATAACATTTTCTTACCACCCAAATGCCTCAACCTATACATTTTAAACTTTTTTTAAACATTGGTTATATTGCCCAACTTCGTTATTGAAAGAATATTAACAAGACATTATTTTGGCAAATTAAATCTTAAACATGGCTTTTCAACAGGATTTAAAAGGTGACTATCCCTAGAGTTCCATGTTAAAATGTAGTTTTCAAAATCTTACAAGAGTAATGCTTAAAATATTGTACATAGTTAACCTAATTAAAATAATTAGCTTCAAAATGACAAATTGATAAGCTAAGTAAAGCCTACACTATGTAACATTTGCTTGGAAACTTGATTTGTCAGTTATGCATAATAAAAATTCCAGTCATCAAGAAAATTACAAAAATTTTTATCATAACATGATTTCTTTCACCCACCAACTTTTTTTTTTTATCTTACAATAGATAAATACCAACATGTTCTCATTTTTACACTAAACCACACAGGATTGATGCATTTGGTTAGACTACCATTCGCATTGTTAAATTCAATTTTCTCTTTATATAACTTGGTAAAATTTCATTTCTTCTAGATTCCAAAAGTACCTACAAAACCCATGCAATTTTACCATTTTTAATATACTATGGAATATCATACAAAGTAAGGCATTTCAGTGTCATGTATAACCAAGTTACTGTCAATCCAAAAATTTTTGCACATCAATAAAAAGATATCTAAGAACTTAGGAACAATATTCTTCTCACTACTGTATAAAAATAACCACAATGAATAAGTATTTGTGTAATATTTACTCCATTGTCTCATTTCCAGAAACTGTCACAAGCTGTAAAGGTATTTCAGTGTTGGTAAGGATATCCTGATTGCTGGTGGCAGAAGTATTAACAGTTCCTATCCCTGAAACAGAACCTTGTTGAATATTTGCAAGGATAAGTGTTGTTCCTCCTGCAGTTATCAAAGTATCATCTCGCCCAGCTTCCACAGAGGCTAGCACTGTACTGCTAGAGTGAATAACTTTTTTGTTTTGATGTGTTTTAATATGTTTGGCAAGGTGGTCACTTCTCATAAAACGTTTTGAACATTCTGGACAAACAAATTTCTTCTCACCTGTTAAGAAAAAAAAAATTGTTACTTAATTTTAAAAATTCAATCTCAAATAGTCAGAATTCTCTCTTAAAGCCAAAACTGATGGTTGAGGGTGAAAAGCAGGGATCTACTAAAATTGTATTAGTTTCATGAGCTGCTTCCTCAAGATTCCTCTTATTGAATATCTCTCCAAATTAATTCCATCTTTACTTCTGGATGAAAAGCAATCCTCAAACATATTATATGAGAGACTAATAAACTATAATAATATTTTGATTTGAAACACCTCTGTTAAAGCCTGTAGTCCCTGTGACTTTAGAGGTTGAGTCAGGAAGACCACAAATTCAAGGCCAGCCTGGGCAATTTAACGTAGCTCAGTGGTAGAGTGCACAAGGTCCTGGGTTCAATACTATTTAACCTTTGTTTGGAAACAATCAAGGTGAAAGAAATAGAAACCAGCTAATAAACACAATCATCCATATGTAACACACTTCTTTTCATATCCACAATACTAAACTTTCAACTCTTAAATATGAACTCAAGTAACAACACTGAGCACTTCCAGAGTAAAGCAAAGATGTGTAAGCTTTAGGCTCAAAAAGATTGAGTAGTATCAAGAATAATGGAGATGGCTACCTGACATGGTTTCAGTTGGAATAACCAATATCAGCTTGATATACCAAGATTTTAAAGGTATTAATAAATGATGCCTAAATTTACTTTCTAGCAAGAATACTTAATACAAAAGACAGACTGAATTTCTACTATATCAATAACCTACTACATAAGAGGGTTATGAAAGAGAAGACAAAGGGGAACCTAAAAGGAATCAAGAGTGAAATCAATCAATAAATCTAGTAAACAGTTTCTTAATTTCTTTCTTCAAAAATGTTTTAGTGGGGGGGTTGGGATTGTAGCTCAGAGGTAGAGCACTTGCTAGCACTTGTGAGATGCTGGGTTTGATCCTCAGCACCACATAAAAATAAATAAAATAAAGGTATTGTGTCCAACTACAACTAAAAAATAAAAATTTAAAAAAAAAAAGAAAGAAAGAAAGAAAAGGGATGGGAATGTGGCTCAGTGATAAAGCACATCTGAGTTCAATCTCTAGTACACCCCCACCCCCAACAAGGTTTACCTAGCTTCCATTTCTGTACCTTTACTCTAGGTAAGTCCATATTAGCCCTAATGCATTAACCACGACGCAATAACCTCCTAGTCTTACCTTCTCCAAGCCAATAAAACATCAGACTCATTTTCCCAAATATTACACTATAAAACTTCATCTTTGTACTAAATGATATGTAATGCAAGGGTAACGTCAAGATAACCCAACAGTTCAGATGCTCCATTGCCTTTACAGGTCCTTCTACAACATGCCTCAATCCTACATAACAGAAATAGTTTATGTAAAAACTTTAAACTTCACTCATGCTCTTACTTCTATCAACACACCACCATTTTTTAGAAAAATACTTCCCAATATTTTTTTTGAAGATCAGTCATAAGAGATGTTCCACAACAAATAGCACAATGATCAAATGAGGTTGGGAAAACTTAATACATATTATACCATCCATTAAAGACATATGATGTTCATTTAGCTTTCAATTTAAAAATTCTAAGAAGTACTCCCTTGTAGGTATTTGTATCCTCTTTAACCCACTTATTTGATCATAGACTTTTTCCTCCATTTACATTATTTCCTTTTAAAACTTACTGACCAAATTGCAATAAAGAAAAGTTTTAAGGTTTACTACCCAAGGATGCCTTTATATCTCAAGCAATAATTATCTTTCCTTCTGAGAATATCCAATAGCACAAACTATAATATAAAATCTTTTCACTATCTACCTTTTTTTGGGTGGAGGGGTACCAGGGAATCCCCAGCTACCCCTACCCCCTTTTTGGTATTTTATTTAAAGACAGGGTCTCACTAAATTGCTGAGGCTGGCTGTGAACTCAAAATCTTCCTGTCTCACCCTCAAAAGAAATTGGGATTACAAGCGTGTGTCACCAGGCCTGGCTTCTATTTTCATATACTGTTTGTTGCAAGTTAATCTTATCTGATTAGTACCCAATGAAAGATATAGAAGTAGAATATCTAATATGTGTAATGCTTTATACTTCACTGATTGTTTTATATAGTATTTAAAGTCAAAGTAAAAAGCATAAAGCAGAAACAGGGACAGTTTATTTGCTTATCTACTAGAGAACTTAGATTGGAATCCAGATGTTGCAGACTTAATCCAACATTGCTCTCCATTTCACCATGCTTTTTTCTTCTAAACTCTCTAAAAATTGTGTAACAGTATCTATTTTCCAATTCTTTAATGTTGATCATAGACTGATGAATGAATGCTTAAAATTTTTTTTTTTTTAGTTTTATATGGACAGCATGCCTTTATTTTATTTATTTTTATGTGGTGCTAAGGATCGAACCCAATGCCTCACACGTGCTAGGCAAGTACTCTGTCAATGAGCTACAGCCCCAGCTTAAATAAATACATTGATCATGTAATTTTTACATGGTAGCAAGAGGAAACTATCTCTAAATTATTAGTACATTAGACTTCATCTTGGATCAGTCCTGGGGTCTACCTCATGTAACAATCACATAATGCTATGTAAAAACAACCAAATAATGTTCATGTCCAAAATGGCATAATAAATCCCACTATTATGTATAACTACAATACACCAATAAGAAAATTTTTAAAAAAATCAAAGGAGAATTTCAACCTCAACAATGCCTTGGGTATTCTTCAGTGGAATGTCTTTCCCTTACCTCAAGATAAATTACTAATAGGAATGGTGAAATACCCAAATTTAATAGAAGAAAAGGTTTACTCTTTGCTACAGTGTTAGGAGGAAAGAACAACAAGATGGATCAAGAGTAAAAGTAACCAATTTAAAATGAACAAAATAGGTAGATCTTAAAATATTCTACAATGTCAACAAAAGCTAACCAAAATCTTCATAAAATAAAACTTAGTTTTATAAGATAGTTCACATTGGCTTATTCTTTAGAATTAATGTTTTTATATTAGTGTTACTGAAGGTAAAACTGTGATATAATTAGTCATCAACATTAAATTCAGCAAATATTAGAGGGAATGGGGGTAAAGCTCAGGGTATAGTGTACGTTTAGTATATGCAAGGTTCTTGGATCAATCCCCAGCACACAAACGCATTAAAAAAAAATCAAATATAAAATATCATTAACCTGTATGTGTCCTTCTGTGCCTCTGTAATTCATCACTTCGAGTAAATCTTTTGCCACAGAACATCCAGTTACAAATAAAAGGGCGCTCTCCAGAATGCCAACGCAGATGCGCTCTCAGATGTGAGGTCTTCCCATAGACTTTACCACATCCTGGTATATGACAAATGTGTTGCTTCTTTTTCCCAAGATTGGTACCTCTAAAAAAAAACACACACACACACAGAATAATATACACTTATATGAAAGTATTCAAATGGACATTACCATTTATATCATATATCCATCCTCATGTTGCGTTTCAAAAAGAAGACATTATCAACATGAAATCAGAAATCAAAACTATTTTTATCTCTTTAAATAAAAATTTATATATTTTAAACGTGTTTTACATGTTAACTTTATTTCAGAATTAACGATTGCTTTCCAAATGTAAATATACTCAAGAATTATGTAATTATGAATATACAGTAAAGCTCTTTACTAGTCTGTCAAAATCAATTCTCAAATACTAGGCATAAGCCCAATTCAATCAATTGTATGGGAAACTGTTATTATTAAAATAGTCATGTCATGTCAGATAATTTTTTAAATATTTAAACCAAAATACAAATGCACAAATTTAACTGAGCATGGGCATGATTAAAAAGAATATAGGTAGTTTAAGAAGACTGTAAATAAATTAACATGATTTAAGCATATTTATTCAAATAAATCAACGCGATTTAAGCATATTTTAAAATATTTGAATAGCTACACTTTATATATATGTTAACTTTGGACAAAGCTTTTTTGATTTTTTTTAAATTTAACTAAAGCTATGGTCTTAACTCACATCATTCAATGAAATCAAAATTACTTTTACAGTTAAATTACTTCTGCCATAAATTATGCAAAGGTATCCAAAATAATACATAAGGGATATAACAAAAAACATCTTTTCCATGTCATATAAATTTGACATTACATTTCAGTACTTGATACCAACAACAGAGTTTGGGAGACATGTGCTTTGATGAGTGAACAGAGGCATCTAAACTTTTTTGATTCCAGAACTATTATAGGGACAGTATTAAAGTCTACAACAAAAATCAGGCTGTTATTAAAATTGTAGTTTTTTTTTTTTAACATGACGTTTTGGACACAACAATTACCAAAATCACATTGTATAAACTTCGCAATGTTTCTCTGAGATTTAATAGTATATTTAATCCCCCATCTGCCCTCCTCCCCCAATCTCACAGTCTAGGTGTAGCCTATAAACTTTCCATATCCTATAAATCCTCCTGTATACAATACACCTATTGTTTCTCAAATTTTACTGGAAAAATGCATATTTCCCCACATTTATATTTTAATGTACTCACACTCAGTAGCATGTGAAATTGCCATAGGACAAACAGTGCTAAACGGTGCAGTGCTGGCTGTTAGGTGCCATAGGTGTTCTGAACAGGGAGACATCAATGTGGGCTCCAGTAGTTAGAGAAGACTTCGTGGAGGAGGTGGGTAGGATTTAGATAGAAAGAAGGGAAGGCATTCCAGGCAGAGGAATAGCATAAGTAAAGACAAGGAGGAGTCATGCTGTTGTCTCAAGGGCAAGGATGTCATAATCTAACACAATTCTAGTTCCTGCTCCAGTCCACCCCCATTTTCTACAACTCTCTTCAAAGAGCTGGGTTTCTGAGTGAAAGGTTTTTCTGGCTCACTTGCAATGCCAAAGTTTGATTGTTTCCATTTCATTCAGCTTCTTAAAAATTTGCTTTATCCTTAATAGCCCTAAGAAAAACAGCAATGTTTGTGGCTAGTAGTGTACAAACCAATTTTACGTATTGTGTTCACCATAGCAATTTCACAGACAACCCAATTCAGTTCACTTGTATATTCATGACCTCTTGCCTCTCCTCTAAGATTACCACTTAGGTGAATCAATGTGCTTTTTATAAACTCAAAAGTGTTATTTCACAAACTCAGCAAAATTTAGCCTGGGAGCACTAACAAAGCCTAAGAATCTAACAACTCAACACAACAAATTTGGGTTCTCAAAAAACCAAAAAATTAGTAGGGAAAGATTTTTCAATTGAATCATAAGAGAAATATTCACTGTTTAAAATGGGATCAGTATCTATCTAAGAAAGAAAAAAATGGAGCACAGTCATACATAAATACTATAATTTAAGGGAAATGCTCAACATTCAAGTCCAAGTTTCCACTTCAAAAGGAAATTTGAGGCTAGGGCTGTAGCTCGGCAGTAGAGCACTTGACTAACATGTATGAAGTGCTGGGTTCAATCCCAAGCACCACAAAAAAGAAAAGGTGGGGGTATTTGATTCAAGATTAAGATCTAAATATGCTAGATATGAATTTTTGCCATGTCCTATGATGGAAGGGAAAAGGACTGAAGTGAATTTCTCAACAAAGAAAAGATTCACACATCTTTTTTGCGGGGGAGGGTGACTGAACTCAGGAGCACTTGACCACTGAACCATATCCTCAGCCCTATTTTGTATTTTATTTAGAGACAGGGTCTCACTGATTCCTTAGCAGCCTCGCAGTTGCTGAGGCTGGCTTTGAACTCACGATCCTCCTATCTCGGCCTCCTGAGCCACTGGGATTACAGGCGTGTGCCATTGTGCCCGGCTTATAACTCTTCTTCTTGACTGACACATAATTAGATACCACTAATACCTATTATATAGCCACTAGCACCTATTAGATAACCTAAAAAACTAACAATTTTAAGTTTCTATTCGTAAGTGCATAGTGATTTAATGACCACACAGAATAAATAATGCAAAATTCTGGGTGGAGTTAAGAAAAGTTGAATAAATCTAGTTTCTCTTGGTTAGGGTGGGAGAAAACAAGACAAACTAAATGCTGACAAAACAAATTTTACAAATTAAATTAAAAAATATGGATCAAGGCTTTAATGCATACAAAACCTACACAATAATAATGTCTTTAGAATTCTATATTATTTTATTACAATCAAGATGTCTCCTCTACTGGTGTTTCTCAAGGTTGGTTCTGCTCAATAAATATTGGCTAAATGAATATGTTTTTATTATTTTTACACCTTGCTCAAAAAGGGAAACAAAACTCAGTTCTCTAAAGATGAATGAAATTAACTCTCAAAAAATGCCATCTTGCTCGTATTCTTTTAAGAAAAATTTTAAGAAAATGATTGGGAAAAAAAGGGCCAATTTTTTTTTTTTTTTAAATCTTACATGCCACTTCTCTTCCTTGCAGAATGTTATGAAATATTTTGGACTTACAATATGTTAGTGCTTCTACTAATTAGATGCAACAATTGCAATTTATACAAGTGTTCCTATCTCATACACACACACACACACACACACACTAGTTGTATATTGTTCAAAAGAGTTTTAATAGACAATATAGTTTTCTTCTTAAGAACCTTGATTTTTATTACTTATAGGAAGCTATTTTTTAAAACAAAGTAAAAATTGTCCTAGAAAAAAGTGAGTGAATATTTTTCTAATTCTCGGGCTTTTAACACATGATAACAAGGAATCTAATAAAACACTGACCAATTTAAATTTTGTGTTTAAAAAAAAGTCTGTCAACCATACGATGGAACTACTTATATATAACAATGCGTTCTGCAAACTATCGACATAAAGCTGAAGGCAATATAAAACCGGCAAAAAATATATGCACATGACAGTTAATACACAAATTAACAGATTCACAAAAGACAAACAATTCACAAGAAATTTTTAAATGGCAAAGTAACAACCAAAAAAATGTTCAACCTCGCCAAGTAAAACAATAGTGATATTATTTTCACATGTCAGCTTTAAAAGGTTGAAAAATATGATTAAAATCCAGTGTTTGGGACTGGGGTTGTAGCTCAGTGATAGAGCGCTTGCCTCGCTTGCACAAGGCCCTGGATTTGATCCTCAGCACCAAATATAAATAAACAAATAAAATAAAGGCATTGTGTCCATCTACAACATATATATATATATATATATATATATATATAAAATAACAAAATCCAGTGTTGGTCAGGATGTGAAAATGCAGATATTCTAATACAACACTGGTGGGAGTTGAAATTGATTCAGCCTTTCTAGCAGAAAATTCTTTGACCCAGCAATTCTAGTTCTGCCAATTTATACTAATGAGATAATCAGACAAATATGCAAAGACCTATGTGAGGATTATGACAAGCCCCAACAAAAGAAAATACTAAATTATTACACATCATGCAATAGAATACTTCAGACATAAAAATGATACAAACTCGACTTGGAAATATGGTGACAAAGTTTTCAAAATAAGAAGAGACAAATAAAACAGTGAGGAGATAATGATTCTACTTTAAAATACATGTAATATCTGAAAGGATACATAACAAAGTGCTATAGTGGTTAATATTAAAGTAGGTTAGGATTTTGGAGTTTTAAAAATATTATTCCATATTGCTGAATTTTTAGGAATATATGTTAGTTTAGCACATAGCAATTAATTAAAAGATTTTTACTTTAAAGAACAAATGAAACAGGCCAGGCCTAGGTCTACAATTAGATTTGATTTTCATAAGTTCTCTAAAATAAGAATTTCAGAAGTTATTGCCTAACAAGAATTTTTTTGAACAAATAAATTTAAAACAACTGATTACAATAAATGCAAACACCTAAGGATATAATGCAAAAGCAGATTCACTCTATAGATAGTAGTATAATGGCAAAATCTTTGGAGTAAGTATTTGTTTGTTCTTCTCTATAGCTCACTTATAAGACATACTGGAATATATTAAGTTCACAATGTTAGCAGATATTAGCTATTAGTAGTAGTAGTAATAGCAGCAGTTGTAGTAGTATTGCAAATGGGCTGGCCAGTGTACAAATCAGCTAATAAGACCAATCCAAAAAGGCAGAGAAAGTTGATCTTGTCAGATAAACTGCATATATTTATATACACCCTTCTATTTTACAGTATATTTTGTCACTTAAACTGTACTTAACAGTAGTGTGTTAAGACCTTTCACTATGACCAAGAAATTGTTCAGTATAGCTTTACAGTTCTACCAGTTTTTGCTCATGTATTTCAAAGCTATAGAAAAAAGTACTATGAATATTAAATTTGTTTGATGGAAACTTGATATTATTAACAAGAAATATATCCATGTCTGTCCACTTGAAGCTTTAAACCTTAATCCCATCTTGCCTGATAACAATACTGCTATCCAAGTTTTCTCTTTCTCAAAAGTTGACCTGATGCATAATTTATGCATCATCTTCAACATTGCTACATCAATTATTTGAGGTGTTGTTTAAAAATGAGTCACAGTCTCTTAGTCAATAAGCTTAACATCTGACACAAATACTAATGGTTTGAGTTTATTCCTGTCATGTAATTGTCTTAGTGTTTAAAAAAAAAAAAACTGACTTGAAATACTAAAAAAAATCCACCCCCCCAATCAGGCCATTTATTCCCATTTCTGTTGAAAATGAAAATGTTTGTGCTTATCAGCTATTTCTGAATTTTCTAATAAAAACAATATTTTTATGTAACTGTAATACTCAAGAATTTTTTTAATCTGTATTTAAGCAAAACCCATTGCTAGTCTGCTAACAGTATTATTTCTAATATGGGCCAATAAAATTGCATCTGTTACATTGTTTTTAAAAAACTACATAATTTTAGTTTTAAAGGCATTCATATCTGAAAATTCAATTTCATATTTTTATTTTCTAATTTATATCACACTCTTTTATAGTCACACACCCAAAAATGATCATGTAATGAATAATTTTCCAAATTAAGTGACATGGCATGCGATATTTTAAAAATTTAGGGTGGTGATATTAGTACTCTTAAAAACAAACAAACACAAAAACAAAAACATAAGGAGTATGGTTCATGTATGCATACCTCCCACCGCCTTCTTTACAGTTGGGACAGGTGCAAGCTACCCTCCGAAGTCTTTTTCCTTCTTGATGTTGTTGGTCCCCTTCTTCATCTACCACCTGTACTCTTAAGTGTGTTAGATCATTGGTATTCAATGTAGAATCACCACTGAGCTGCCACTCTTCAGGATCAGGTTCTTCTTCCTTGATCCTAATATCTAAAGAAAAAAACAAATGCAAATGAGAAGCAGCCCACTGGCCCTGAAAGAAAGCATGAGAGCTAAACTTCTCTAACTCAATATTAGGTAAAAACTAAACAAAACAAAAAAGTAAGTCTTTGTTCCTCCTGGCTTATTGTTTTCAAAACAATTTTATTCTAAACAGCAAAGATAAACCAAAAATGGGAATAAAGCCAGCAGGACAGCTTACTTTTTAAAGAATTCAATAAGAGTGAAACTTCAGTTAAGAGTTTATTGGTCAATAAATCCAGTGATCAATGTAAAACGAAACAAATTCTAATGCCTTTAATCTCTCATAATTTACATCTATAATCTCACAGTTTATATCTATTCTGCCTATCTGTAGGTAGTATATGGAATGCGAAAGGCAGCATTCACTTGAAACTGTTGCTTACAATCTTAAGCTTTAAAAGTCAACCATTAAGGGCTAAGGCTGTAGCTTATTGGTCAAGCGCCTGCCTGGCATGTGTGAGGCACTGGGTTCAATCCTCAGCATCACATAAAGATAAAGATACTGTGTGTGTTATCTTTGTTTGTATGTGGTGCTGAGGATCGAACCCGGGCCGCACGCATGCCAGGCGAGCGCGCTACTGCTTGAGCCACATCCCCAGCCCCTGTGTGTGTTATCTACAAACTAAAAAATATTTAAAGAAAAAAAAAAAAGTCAACCATTACTACCAGGCGCAGTGGCACACACCTGTAATCCCAGCAGCTCAGGAGGCTGAGGCAGGATGATTTCGAGTTCAAAGCCAGCCAGCCTTAGCAAAAGTGAGGCACTAAGCAACTCAGTGAGACTCTGTCTTAAAAACAACAACAAAAAAAAATAGGGCTGGGGGTGTGGCTCAATGGTTGAGAGTCCCTGCGTTCAATTCCTGGTACAAAAAAAAAAAAAAGGCAACCATTACTAAAATGACCTATAATGTCCACAACATTACTATAAGAAGGACATATAGCAATAAGAGACAGTTTCTATTTGAGAAGTTTTACCATCCTGGGGACAAAATGAGCATGCAATAATTGAAGAATGGATATGGCAGGAAGCTGTGTTACTTTCTCAGCAGAAATGACTATTATACAATAATGCTGTAATAATACAACATCATTTTCTAAGTGAAAGTAAGAGAACTAATCAAGTTTTTTTTATCTCAGAAAACTGATTTTTTTTTTTTAAAAAAATGATGATTTAGAACACTGAATTAACCTCCTTTAATAAAACAAATTCCTGCACATTTTTAATGTAGCTCAATAGAAGATCATGTGCTTAGTGCATTTGAGGACCTGGGTTCAAACTCCAGCACCGTCCCCCACCCACCAAAAAAACCCCTATCAAATAACTTGACTTTACATTAATAAAAATTAGAACATATAATCAACAATAAAAAAAACTGCATCAAACAGGTTTAAACTATTTTTTTTTAAAACCAGAATAACCACTCCAAAAATCAAGGGGGGGGAATTAGATGAAAGATTTTGGCCTAGGCAACTAAGTAGATGGTGAAATAGGAACTACTACTAGATAAGGTCCAGATGGAGAGGGACAGTTGTTAATTCGATCATTGAGTTTTAACTATTTGAGATATACAGAAGTAAAGAAACTAGTCTTACAGGTTTAGAGCACAGAAAGAGGTATATGCTAGAGATACATAGTTGGGAATTCTCACTATGCTACTGAGTCCATCCACCGTAGTTTATATCACTCAGGCACTATGAGAATGAGGATAGAAGGTGAGCTATAAGGAACACAAACATTTAAGGGATGAGAAGGGAGCAGCCAAGAAAATATGGTAAATAAAAGGAAAGAATGTGTTTCAAGAAAGAAAGGAGGGCTGGGGATGTGGCTCAAGCGGTAGAACGCTCATCTGGCATGCGTGCGGCCCGGGTTCGATCCTCAGCACCACATACCAACAAAGATGTTGTGTCTGCGGATAACTGAAAAAATAAATAAATATTTAAAAAATTAAAAAAAAGAAGAAAGGAAATACACAACATCAGATGCTGCAGATAAGTCAATAAAGAAAATGACTAGTGAGCAAGAAGTGACAGAGTAATAACAACTATAGATCTAAACTTTTCATGAAGTTTGAGGAAAAAAGAGAGAAACACAGCAGTGGAAGCTAGAAGGGGACATAAGACAAAAGGTGTTTGGTTTTAAAAACAGGAAAGACAAACCTTTAAAATGCTTATGAGAAAGATTCACTAGAGAGTGAGAGTGAATTTCCAGCCAGGAGGACATGATAATCCAGAGCACTTACAGGTTTAGCTGATGGAGCAGTCATATTTTCCTTTGCTGGATGAGGGACCAAAAGATAAGAGCACATTCATTCATCTAATAGATATAATTATCTACTATGTGCCCAGATATAGAATGAATTTTATTTGATGGCTAGGAATTAAGGCCCAATTGAATAGCTCTAACCTGCTGTTTCTATGTTCCCAGTGAAAGGATTAAGTGGGAATCAGATATGAACAAAAGTCCTTCCATATACTATGTAAGTAAACCTTAACCTATGTTACTTTATAATCAGGTACTCAATAGTATTATTATAACAAAAGACTGCATAAATATTGTCCAGTACTAGCCTTTACAAGATGAACATAGGTTATCACATATATAGTTCTGGATATTTAAGTCCATAAAATGAGAAATCTTATCAAATATTTTAAAAGCTACTCATTTTAGTTTTTTTTACAATCTTCTTTTTATTTAACATCATTTGTGATAAGATGGTAGGGAAAAGGGAGGCAAAATAATAACAAAAATGGATATAAAGACCCCGGCGCAGTGGCACATGTCTATAATCCCAGTGGCTCAGGAGACTGAGGCAGGAGGATGAGAGTTCAAAGACAGCCTCAACAAAAATAAGGCACTAAGCAATTCAGTGATACCCTGACTCTAAATAAAATACAAATAGGGCTGGGAGATATGGCTCAGTGTTGAGTACCCCTGAGTTCAATCCCTGGTACCCCCACCCACCAAAAAAAGAATGGATAAAGAGCTCAGCATGGTGGGGGTGGGGGTGAACGAATAACACTTGCAAACTTCAGTGAGGTCCTAAGCAATTTAGCAAGACCCCATCTCAAAATAAAAAAGGGCTGGGTATGTAGCTCAGTGGTTAAAAATCCCTGGGTTCAAAAAAGAAAGAAAGAAAAAGAATGGATAAAGAGCCAGGCAACATACCTGAAATCCCAACAACTTAGGAAGCCTAGGCAAGAGGATCCCAAGTTAAGTTAGTCGATAACTTAGGCCCTGAACAATTCAGTGAGACCTTGTCTCAAAATAAAAAAGAAAGCACCCTGGGTTCAATCCCCAGCCTCCTGCCCCCTACGGAAAAGAATGGATGAAGAAACTGTCTGGACAGGACCTATATAAGAAGAATTAAAGACAAGCATAGGGAACAAAAGAGCAATTGATGAGATGGGAAAGAATGAAACACAACCTCACTGAGGAGATGAAGATATTTTAGGACATTCTTGTTATTACAGAAACCTACAAAGAACATGTTTGAAGAATGAGTCATAGAAATGAATACTCAAACTTAAGTTTTCTTTCTTACTGCATCTGGATAAACCATAGGCAAAAAGAACTTAAGTCCAAACTTAACAATCTTGTCCACCCAAAAAAAATCTTTCGAAAAGGAATCTCATGAAAATAGAAGGGAGAATAGCAAGGTGAGGTGGAGTGGCGGGATGGAAAAAAAGGAAGGGGAAGAACTGAACAACAAAACTGAGCAAAGTATGCTAATGTGCATGTACAAATATGCCACAATGAAACCCACTATTCTGTATAATTAATATGCACCAATTTAAAAATATCTCCCTGCATCAACCTACCTACTCCAACTATCAACTTCAAGTAAGCCCTATTAGTCCATCCCCAGGCTCTCATCTTCAATCCCCCTTCTACTCAGCTTCCCAAATTTTCTTCTAAATAAGAATTTTATTGCATTACTTTCCTGATTGAACACTTGCACTATTCCTCTAGTTTCAACAGGATCAAGTCCAATCTCATTAACTCGGTATTCAATCTGGCTCCACCCTGCTCTTCCAACTTCAAATATTAAAAAAACTGCAATTCTCAGCATTTTTTCCTTATATGAATTATTCCTTTTGACTACACTGCTCTCCAGTTTTTTTGCTCTTCATCTAAGTAGCCTCTATCTCTCCTTCAAGACAGATCAAAAGTCATTTCCCTTTATACATGTTTATGGTAGAATTAATTACATTTATTTGTCCCTATATCTCCCTACATAACAAATGCTTTGCTCAATAATGCTCAGAAAATACAATCTGACTAAAATGAACTAACCTTCTTTAAGGAAGAATTTCCAATACTGGTAATGATCTACTTAGGAAAACTTTGTGTCTACTTCTTTATGTGCAAATATTGTGTCTAACTAAAAAATAAATGTTTAAAAAAAAAAAAGTTCAAAGCCAGACTCAGCAACTTAGCAAAGCCCTAAAGCAAAGTAGAGAGACCCTCTCCTCTCTAAATAAAATATTAAAAAGGGCTGGGGGTGTGGCTCAGTGGTTAAGTGCCCCTGGGTTTTACCGCTGGTACCAATAAACAAATAAATATATAAAAGATTAAGAATCAACTCCTATAAACAGGACCACAAAGTACTCACTAAAGACAATAAATTATTGCCCATCAAGTATTACCAACAATTTCCAATCACTGTATTTACTCATATACATTTGGGCTTTATTTAAAAATTCTAATCATAAATTAATGTCCTTAATACTTCCCCTTTGTCAAATGCATGCCAATTTAAGACAAATACAGGATGAACATCCCTACCTAAACTGTAAAAATCTTTAGTGCTCCAAAATCCAAAAAGTTTCAGATTTGGAGGATTTTAGATTTGGGATGCTCAAGTGGTAACACCTATGCAAATATAAAGAGATCCAAAAAACTCCCAAATCTGAAACACTTCTGGTCTCAAACATTTTGGTATACTCAACCTGAACCTTAAGTTTTC